CTCATTCGCCATCGGAGTGGCTTCCCTCAAATTCTGATGACCGTTCACTGCAGTTATCTGAATCGGGGTCATCCTCCACAACCTCCGCGCTAGCCTTGCGCTGGCGAATGTTTTTTTTTTTTTTTGCACCGGGTTCAGCGGTCTTCAGCTTGCGGGGCCTGCCACAAGCACGATTATGCTTCGCAGCAGCATCCTCCACCGGTTCCTTCCTCTTCCTCCCCACCCTGCTCACCCACAGGTTGTCATGTTGGACAGCCTCATTGCTTGGAGGGAAGTCGGGTGAGTTCTCAACAGACTGTGCGGACACAACCGGTCGTTGCCTACGCGTGTACACAGTCTTCACTGCAGGCCGGTGGTCCTCTTCACCGTCCTCGTTATCCACGTTGTGCTGCATGTCCTGTTGTTCCATGCCCTCCGCATCTTCTTGCTGTTCCATGGCCTCCTCCAATCCTTCTCTCCATCCCCTCCTCGTCTCTTCATGTTCCATCTCCTCGTCGTCTTCTCCGTGCTCCTTCTCCGCCTCTTGTAGGTGGTCCATGTCTTTGTTGTCCTCTTGCTGGTCCTTCTCCTCCGCCTCTTTGCGGTGCTCCGCCTCTTGCTGGTCCGCCTCTTTGCGGTGCTCCGCCTCTTGCTGGTCCGCCACCTTCAAAACCGGTCCACTTTGCTGTTGCTCTTCCTCATCTTCCTCTTGCACAGCGCCACATGCTCGACGTGTCTCCGGTTCCTTCTCCCCAACCTTCTTCTTGCGTCTCTCAATCTCCCTCCGGGTCGGGATTGCTGCGCGTCGGGCGTCCTCTTCCGTGATCCGTTTTTGGACGGCGTCTCTATCGTGATTTGCTAATGCCTTCGCACGGTCGGCCTCCGCCTCGTCTTCATCAACCGGACTACTTTGCAGCAGCAACTCGATGTCCGTGTCCATGTGATGGAACTCTACGTCAAACTGAGGATGGTATTGGGAGGAGCTTCCCCCCCCGGCCTGTGCAGAAACCGCGGGCTGCTTCTCCCTCCGACGCCCTGCAGGTTCTCTCCTACCAACATAAGTAGTGCCCAACTCAAAATCGGAATCACTTTCATCCTCCTCCTCCTCCGCGCTGCTCGTCTCATCCGACAATCCACACTTCCCCTTCCACAACTCATCATCCAAGTCACTGTCGTCGGTGCACTCATCCTCTTCGTCCTCGAGCTTCTTTGGAATCCTTCCCTTCGGTGTCTTCACGAAGCTACTTTGCCGCACCAGCTCCTCATCCGTCTTCTTAGTTTCTTCCTCAGAGCCCCTCAAGATAGATCCGTCGTTCTCATCTGGATCCGGAATAGCCTCGAAGAACGAACTCCACAAATCGACGTAGCCCTTGCCGTTGGCACCGCTGTTGTTGGCAGCACGCAGCAGTTGCATGTTCCAATGGATGTACACCAGCTTCTCCAATGTTTCGGCCTTCAACCTCTTCCTCCTTTTCGAATGCACGAGGTCCATGGACGACCAATTCCTCTTAGCCGGGGTTGCTGTACTCCACATGCCCATCACTTTGATGGCAATGGCGTGCAAGTCGGGGACATCGCCGTCATAAGTCGCCCACCACTCTGACGGTGTGAGCTTCTCGCAATCAACCTTCGCATCGGGCTCCCACATCTTCTTGTCCTTTCTCTTGGGCCCGCTCGGCGTGGGCTCCTTGTGAAACTCGTGCAGGTTACCCAAAACCTCAAGGTGGTCTGGCCCTTTCCAAGGACCTCCAACCTGTCTCTGCAGGTAATGCATCGCGTTTTGCACAATTCCACTGTCCCGATCATAGAGCCACCATGGATTTCTCCTGCGCGGGTCCAAAAGAAACGCCAGTGCATGTACTGGCTGCCGCATCATCTTCATCCGATCTCTCACTTCTCCATGACGCTCACCCGCTGCTCCTCAATGAGAACGACGTGAGCCAGTTTCCTTTCAATCAGGTCGTCGTATTCGACAAGGTTTGTCGGCGATGTTCCATCCCGATCCATCCTCCTGAGAAGGCTGTACAACGGTTCCATGACGTCGACCACCTTCTTCAACTTCGTCCACCAGCCGTCTTTCCTCAGGGTGAAGTAAACCAGGTCTGTTTTGGACTTCAACTTCGCAGTGGACCTATGGATCCCCGTCCAGCGTGCTGCATTTTTCCGATCCACCATATCGGACAACACTGCCTTCCTGTTCAGAAGCCTCTCCAACATAATGTACACGGACCCGAACCAAACTTCCGTAGGACGAAGCAATGTCAAGGAATCGTCCATGGACATCATTAGTCTATTCGTGGAGTGGTGGTTCCGGATGAACTTCACAATCGTGTGGCCTCTCTTGACAGTGCTCTTCACCCTGTCTATCTTGCTGATGTCTCGCAGCAAAAGGCTGCAACAATGCGCAGCGCAAGGAACCCATGAAATCCGTGCAATGTCCTTGTCCGTGCGCCGCTCCAGAATTTGAGCAGCCTTCTTGTTCACCTCGGCATTGTCAGTGCAGATCGCGTCGATGGGATGCACCCCTATCTCCCTCATGATCTGCTCCCACAACTTTGCCAACGCCTGCGCTGTTTTCTTCCTTGCCGTCATTGACACTGTGGCCACCAGAACTGCACCCTACTCCCCCGCTGCCAAGAAGTTCATGACAGGGCGCTCTCGACGGTCGGATGACCCGTCCGTGATGAATGTACAGCCTGATTCATCCCAACAGACTGTCAGAGGATGCACTTGCTTTTGAATTCGCAAGTAGATGAAGTCAAGCATCACCGTCCTCATATTCTTGTACGAGCGCTCGCCACTTCCAAGTAAACTTCGTGGAGCTTCTGCGTCGTGTCGAAGTTCAGGAAGTTAAATGGAATGCCAACACGGAACATCGCCTCCGCCCACGCAATATCCAACTTCTTCTGTGCATCGTTGTCCACCCATCTCTTGATTGATGTTTGCTGCAGTGATGCCACCCTCATGTTCGACCCTGAACCTTCCGCAAGCCCCTCATCTGCAGCGGCGACCGGCTCGTTCCAGGAAGCTGTTTTCGGTGGTGCCATCCCCGCAGTGGCTGGTGGTTGCGACTCCTCGTACCCGCAAACGAACGGCTCGGAGTCCGCGACCTGAGTCTCCGTCGCAGTCGTCCCCCCTTCCCCAATGCCATGCAACTGCCTATAGTTCTTGAGGAGGTACTGCGTCTTTTTGTCGCTCGGCAACACCTTCGCACCGGCGACAATGAGCTTGTGCACCATCTCACCTGTCCTCAACGGACACAACTTCAAAAAGTGTTCCACTGCCCTTGTGCTCGTGCCCCTCCAAATTTGTGTGCATAGCCGGCACTGGAGCCAGTACTCCTCGACCCTTTGGCAGGGCTTCTTGACCCTGTATAACGTATTTCCACACGTCCCGAGTGCGCTGCAGTTGTTGTTGCCTCGTGTCATCCTGAGGAACGAACAAAGAGGGGTCTGACGCCGGCGTGGGATCCTTTGCAGTCACCCCAGATGCGGGAGCACTGGAACCGGCACTGGCCTTTCCTTTGTTCGTCGATCCTGACGGAGGTCTCCTCCTTCCGGTGCCACCACTGCCACCGCCTGCAGCAGCGCCACTGCCGCCGCCGCCCGCCATTGAACAGCAACGTGTGGAAGCAGTCGCCAACAAACACCGAACGCACCCCCATTGGTCCGCCCCTCGCCCTGCCTACACCTGTACTCCCTAGCGCAGCGCCGTGTCGCGCTGCTCCAGCAGCGTGTGGCCCAAGAAGTGATACTCGAACTGTGCATCTGCCCTGGCCTGGCCCAGCTATAACTAGGGCTGGGCCTCGCTGGTGTGCCTGTGGTCCTTGGCCTGATTGGCCTGCCTGGGTCCCTACCAGACGTTCAGGCCCTCCCTGCTGATGCAGCAGTGAGTGTCCAGTACGGGGACGTTTCATGGGCCTGCCTGTGAACGAAGAAGGCCCAAAATGTGGCCTTTGTCCGAACAGACCGAAAGACTGTTTGGACGAACTGCAAGTCCAAACCAACACCTGAACAGACAAAATAGGACAGCAAATAAATGAATAAATAAATAAATAAATAAATAGATAAATAAATAAATAAATAAATGGATAAATAAATAAATAAATGCTGCCTCAAATGGAATCCTGCGGCCCTCAGGTTGGCCGTGGGCCTCCAGGGCGCATGTTTGAATGTCGTGCGACCTGGGGGCCCCAAGCAACTGTCGGGCCCCCGAAACGGGGCCCGTGTGCAGGCACAGCATGTAACACTCTCTCTCTCTCTCTCTGTGTCTCTCGTGTGTCACGAAGCTGCCCCCCTCCCTCCCTTCTCGCTCTCCCGTTCCCTGCCTCCATCCCCCTGCCTCCATCCCTCTGCCTTTTCTTCCCCTCCCCTTCACACGTCATACATTTTTTTTTTGTTTTGAAGGCTAATTCGTTTAGGGCCAACCAACCTGTCGAATCGAACAGGTCCAAAATGGCTGGCGTCTCCAGCCAGAACGAAACAAAGATGGTCGCTCCCCTTCACACATCATACATTTTTTTGTTTGTTTTAAAGGCTAATTTGTTTAGGGCCAACCAACCCATAGAATCGAACAGGTCCAAAATGGCTGTTGTCTCCAGCCAGAACAAAACAAAGATGTTCGCGCTGACACTTTGGCAGAAGCTTGGTGCGTGCGCCGAAAGGAGGCTTGGAGGTAGTGGTTAATTAAAGAAAAACACCCTACTCCTCTCTGTCCGAGTCCTTGAGTCTCAGTCCAAGTTCTAGGGCTCAAAAGTCGCTGTCTAGGGCCAGGAGTCGTCTGAAATATCCCTGAGGTCAAACAGACTGGGGTATGTGGGCTCAGAAATATCCCTAGGGCCTGGAAAAATGACCCCGGACTTGAGGATCAAAGATTTTCCCAGAAGTCGAACTTTCAGAAAAAGGTTTTCCGGGAGGTCAAAATTGGCCACATATCACAGACAATCCAAAGGCTCAGTTGGTAAGGCACGCTAGTTGCATTCTGGTCTTGGGTACAATCCCCATTGGCCTCATGCACCTTCCTTGGCAGGCTTGGCGTCTGCCACCCCCTGAACGGCATTGAGCAGAGAGTGCTGATGTTCGTAGGGAGAGGGGATCGGAGGGGAGGCAGAGTGATTGGCCCATCGGAGAAGTGCGGTTCTGATGCTACTAGCTGACCCCTGGCCGGTATTGCCGACCGTCAGGTTGGGTGCAGCCCCCGCATGTGCCCTCGTCGGAGGCTTGAACTTGGACTGGCTGCTACAGGGTTCCCCGTAGTACCATAATGATGTTAGCAAGGCTGAATTGACAGGCAACTGAATTGGTTGGGCTTAAAAAGAATCAGCCTTTAGAAAAACAAAAGGCTCAGAACAATTTCCAAAAACTTTTCAGACTCACAAGTGCGAGGATCTGGGTCCTCAGCAGGCCTAAGGGGCCCCGGTTGCAGTAGTGCCCGCCCGAAGTGAAGGCGGGCCTAACATATCACAAGAGG